AACCTACTATCCTTATTACTGAAGAGTGAAACAAACTACTCACTTAGATTATAAGATATACAAACCTTCAAATAATTGTCAAACTCATTAGATTAGTGCAGTCGAGTAGCCAGAATATCTACATTTCGCATCACCAAAGAAGTTAACCCGTAAGGAAACAATAAGAGGTAAGCGCAAACAAAGTGATCGGTTTTTATACAAGCGACATCGGATATTGGCACGCTTTTCGAACGGGAAGTTTAGTCCTAACGTGATTTGCATTTATCAAACATTTGCTGTGTTCTTACGCAACAAAAGTACCATTTCAGTTCTAAAGAATCTATCCTGAGCTACACGTTCGGTAGATTACTTTTTTTTACTTTCACTATATTTAATAGTTACCTGTGGTTTTGCCTCAGCTTACTATTCGGTTTTTTTTGTTTTTCACGTATAGACTAGTTTCAGTTTATATCACTCGTTTTGTCTATTTTTGTCCGTTTTCAGTGTGCTTTTTAGTGTTTTTTTAAAAGGTCTTAGGCTCTTGCAAGCATCTATAACATAGTTTGCTTCAAAACCGTCATGAAAAACTCATGCAAACGTCCGGGATGCCGTTTTGCTGTCACAACTGGCATGCAGTGCGACAACTGCAAAGGTTGGTTCCACGAAGCATGCACAAATCTGACAGCAACTGCTAACAACAGACTCAGCAAGTTAGACCAAAAGTGGGTATGTGTCACGTGCAGCACGGACGCTGTAGTCTTGCTGAGTAACATTATTGTCCTACTGACAGGTCTTCGGAACAAGTTGTCAGTTAACTTGGAAAACGATAGTAAAAAACTGGTATACAAACAAGAGCGTGCAACGGACTCAAAAACAGGGATGTCGATAAGTATTCCATCGATGGAGCATCCATCAACACTAACGACGACGTGTCGAGGCTCAGTACCATCATTACGTCGACGGTACTGAACTCCCTAGGCAAACTCGGGTCTCCCAGCTCAGGGTCCCCGAACACAACAGTGGTTGCCAAAAACACTGCAGGTGATTCGACCCACGTTAAGAGAGCCCAAAAGAACCAGGCATCACCGCCTAAGCCGAACAACCCAAGTGTTGCTGCACGGAAAATAACTGGTGATTTAGTCGCACAGTCTACCCCCAAGACTGTTCGTCCGGTCAATAAAGAGCCCAAGATTCATAAACGCACACTGACCTCCAAACAACAAGTTATTAAACCTGAACCCATCATGAAACCTGGTAAATTAACAACAGTTCGTGACGATTCTCTCATTATCATGAACCTCGTTGACAATCCTGATCTTCCTCTCAGTCTGCAGGACAAAAACGACAGGATGTTCTGGGGTGAATTGAACAAGAAGCTCGAACTTCCTAGAATAGAGCCTTTGACGGTCACCCAGCTCACTCGAGGAAAGGATTCTAAGCATCTAAATCACTCGAGGCTTCTCCGAGTAACACTTAAGAATGCTACTGACGTAGAGGACGTCTTGCTAGCAAGCCACTTGCTGAAATCAGATGGTAACGTAAGAATATTGCCCGACATACCGTACTCTGAGCGCAATATCATACGAAACGTCCCTAAAGAATCTCGCGAGAAGTTTTTCCGCGGAAGAAACATAATTGTCCAAGGTATACCGGAAAATGCAGACCCTACTCAATCAAATTCTGACATCAGGGAATGGGAATTCATCAAACAGTCCTTGAGGCTCAAACACACACTGACTCAGTATGTGACGAGACTAGCCAAGAAGGACGGTGATCTTAGACCCCGTCTAATGAAGATAACCTTCCCATCTTCCCACATGGCGGCTGCAGTTCTGGAAGCATTTCGTGCTAATAGACGTCGATTGCCACCTGGAATCCACATGTACCCGGATAGGCCTTACGAAGTTAGGACGAAGAACAAAGGCAAGTTGGAGCTGACCATTCCACTTGTGGACTGTCTAAACGATAAAAAAACGTGTAAAGGACAGGGCCTACCACCTCGGCAAACCTCATATAGGTGGGCTACCTGTCCATTCACGTAAGGCTCATACAGACAAACAGGACAAAGCTCACGCGTTCCAAATTGAAAGCATAAACTGCTTATATATGAACGCCGCGAGTCTACCAAACAAACTGGATGAACTACGTGAACTTAGCAAAGCTAATAAGGCCCATCTGATAGGAATATCTGAAACCTGGATATCTTCTCAGTTCTCGGACCAAGAGTTAGCATTGCCTGGGATGACCTTGTTCCGCAACGAAAGAAAAACAGGAATTGGGGGCGGAGTAGCCATATACATAAGCTCTTGTTTGGAGGTGCACCAAGTTCACAACCTCGAGTTTAAAAATCTTGAGGAATCCATATGGTGCTCTGTAAGATTGTCTAGTACTTCCAGGTGTCTAGTCGGAGTCATTTACAGGAAGCCAACTGCCGACACCGAGTACGATAGTCGTATGCTGGAAGGACTATCCCGCTCTATCCGTCTCGGTTTCACACACATCCTGATTCTAGGGGACTTTAATCTCCCTAGAGTCAACTTCGCGGAACACACGTACACTGGAGGCGACAACTCAACTGAAGCTCGGTTCTTCAACCTCATCGATAACTTGGGCTTATATGAAAATGTGGGGTCGGCAACTCGTTGGAGAAACAGCCAGACACCATTGCGCTTAGACTGTGTATTCACTAACGAAGAATTCCTAGTCGACAACCTCTCAATCCTGGCTCCTCTGAGAAAAAGCGATCATGCCGTCATAGCCTTCAGTTTTGTCATCAAAACTAAGCTAAGGTATCCCAACAATAATTTGCGTTGGAATTTTAAACGGCTGAATGTGCCAGCTCTACATGACTATCTACAACAGGTGGTTTGGGATGTTCACCCTCAACTCGATGTGGATGGTCACTGGGACTTCTTACTGCACACGCTCTTATGTGCTACAGACCATTCAGTGCCTCAGATGGTTCCCAAAAGCTGCAAGCCACCTACAGTAATCAAGAACCGTACCCTTCGCCTGCTAAGCCGCAAAAGGCACTGTTGGGCGGAATACAAACAAACTAATAACGATGGAGCGTATAGGCAATATAAACATATCAGGAACATATGCACGAAGGCTATAAGAGAAGACAGGCTTCAGTACCAAACAAAGCTTATGGACAAATTCGCCTCTAACCCTAGGAGCCTATTCCGTTATGCAGCCTCTCTTCGTCAAGCCAAAATAGGAATTTCTCAACTGCTAGGTCTTAACGGCCCGACCAACAACGATGGCGACGCCGCTAACCTTCTGGCGGCCCATTACTCTCAAACTTTTCAACCGGCTGACACCAACTTTATTGACGACAGTTTCATCTCCAACTCCACAGGACTTTCTGAAGTGGACCTAAGCGCTGACTTGGTGTTCCGGAAATTGCAGCACTTAAGACTTGACACTTCTCCTGGCCCGGATACGGTTCATCCTGCCATACTGAGGGAGGCAGCCTCAATCCTGGCAACGCCGATTAGCGTGATGTTTTCACACTCGCTTAGCCGAGGCAAATTACCGGAAAATTGGAAGTTGGCTCACATCACACCAATTTTCAAAGGTGGTCGACGCAATGAACCTTCAAGTTATCGGCCGGTGGCTCTTCTGTCATTACCTTCAAAACTCATGGAGTCCCTGATATGCGACGGTTTAAATGACTATCTACTGTCCTTAAATTTCTTCTCACCCCAACAGCATGGTTTCAGGAAGGGTGACTCTTGTATAACCAACCTGCTGACTGCGGTGGACAGATGGACAAGCATCCTCGATCGCAAGGGAAAGGTTGACGTCATTTACCTTGATTTCTCAAAAGCTTTTGATAAGGTTAAACACTTGTGTCTTATCAACAAGCTAAAACGACTAGGTATCAAACCACCTCTAATCGATTGGCTTACTTCATACCTAAAAAATCGACACTTTAAGGTTAGGGTTAATTTCACTTTATCTCAGGCTATGGAATGTCCTAGCGGGGTCCCCCAGGGCTCAGTACTAGGGCCTCTTCTCTTCTTGATCTACATAAATGATCTTCCTCAACAGGTAACGTCAGACGTATTACTTTTTGCCGACGACGTGAAACTTTGGAGAGAGATACGCAACCAAGACGATACGCAGGCACTTCAGGAGGATCTGACTCAACTTCAAAGTTGGGCAGACGACAACGGACTTAACTTTAACACTTCAAAGTGTAAAGTAGTCAATCTGCGACATGTCGCAAACTACAGTTACAAATTAGGAAACTCCTCTCTAGTAGTATCCCAAGTCGAAAAAGATTTAGGAGTCCTGGTGCCCCATGACTTAAAGTCTTACGCTAACTGTGACAAAAATGCCTTCCGTGTAAACCTTGCACTGGTAACGTTGAGGCGCATTTTTGGCCAGTTTGACGGAAGAACTTTCCACACAATCTTCAATAGTTTCATCCGTCCCCATTTAGAGTACGGAAACATAGTACTCCCCCCTCACTCCAAAAGGACAAGGTCACTTTGGAGCGTATCCAACGGCGAGCCACGAAATCAGTTCGAGGACTCAAATCTAAGCCTTACGAAGAACGTCTCCATTCACTAGACCTTTACCCACTAGAATATAGGCGTCTTAGAGATGATTTATTAATGGCTTATAGTATTCTTAACACTTCTGGACATCCTCTTAAACACCTACTTAAGCTTAATTCGAATAATAACCTAAGGGTTAACAGCCAGAAACTGGAAACACAACATAGCAAGACGGAATGTAGACACAACTTCTACTCCTTAAGAGTTGTCAAAAGCTGGAATTCGCTGCCGGCCGAGCTAGCCCAAGCGACTTCTCAGGAGTCTTTCAAGAGGTAACTTGACCTATTCTTAAGGACCAAGGACAGCATCACATTATGATTTACCAATTTCTTTTCCTCTTTTATTGTTAACATACCTAGGTTCCTGCCTGGAGGATTTGGTGATTCCCTGCTACTAGACACGGAAGCCTGTTAAGCGAAAGCTTCTTCTATTCCGTCCACAACCATTTGAACCATTTATTGGTTGTTGACTGGGATGTCTCAAAATTAGTTGTTGCGTTACATGTTTTGGTGCAGAAGTTTTATCTGTCCGGGAAGAAGGGTTTTGACTTTTGTAAATAGAAGTCTCTTTGTTCAGTGTTCTCCGTTATGTGGAAGTTTCAATCGACGGTCCGAGAACCTATGGATTTGCAGAATTCTTAGTAAATTGTCACCAAGTGACAAAATGCTCCTGTATCAAGAATTATCCAAGTGCATCACAGAGAAACCGGACTCCTCAGTGAGTACACAACAAGTTGAGGTAGCCCATTTGACATATGCGCAGCTTAAGTGCAGTGAGTCTACGAGGAAGGGCAGAATATGCATCGTATCTTAGTTTTTATAGGTAACTGTCTCCCGTTCATAGGATTTGGTTTCCTGGATAATGCAATTATGATAGTAGCTGTAAGTGAGGTTTAAAAGCTGTCGCTTTTAATCATCATTTTTGCACAGGGGGAGTATATTGACGTGCAGTTTGCAACATTCTTGGGCATTTCGACAATGGCTGGTACCTATATTTCTGATAATTTTCATGTTTCTAGCTGCCGGTCTAGGAAATCTTGTTTCCGATCTTTTTGGCATAGGGTGAGTTTGTAATCACATCTGATTTGGATGCGTCCCTGAACTCAGCTTTCAGTATGCATCCAGTATCTGGGTTCATTTAACTCGTAAATTAGTTTTACAATTAGTGAAAATTTTGACTTTTCTCCCTCTAAACCAGTAAAAATATCCCTTTGTTTTAGGCACTAAAAGTTTGGCTACGATTCAATGAAACAGATCGATTGCAACTAATCTGAGTTGTTTTAAAAATGTTAGAATGAGTTTATTGTGCTAGTTTTTTTTCTTTGGCTAGAAACACACCTCGTTGTATTTTCTCAACTCAAGCTACGGACGGCTGTAACCCGCCTTCACGTTTTGTATCTGAACAGTGTCAGTCATTTAGGCTGGAGATAGTTCAGGTAATTCGAGGACACAAGTATCTTGCTGGATTTAAATAAAAAACTAGTATCTGTTATCTTGAGCATTTCTCCTTTTAAAACCACCGGATTTATTTTCACGAATGGGTCTTGTAAGTCTCAAGTTATTGCTGAAAAATCAACATGCCTAGAAAAATGATGAGTTCGACTTCAAAGTTGATCGTTAACTTAAGTATTTTTATGGTTTTCAGACACTTTTGATGCATTATTTCCACTTAGCAATGTGTCACTAACGTAGTGTTATCATACTGTTATGTGTTGTACAATTTCTTAGGATACATGTCATTATATCAATTTGCAAGAAATATAAAATCTCGGTGTTAAGACTGCTAGCCCTTAACTAACGCGTCTAACTACTAATGCATTTTAAGGCTTTTCTGGGATTGTGAATAAAGGACAGGGGCCTGTAAACCTGAAAAAGTCTTGACTTATTCACACGAATCAGTCATGTCAATTGAGTTTCATCGATCAAATGAACTACTTAAACCTAAATGTGGTGGTTAATTCCAACCCTGTAAACAAATACGGTTTGTGATAGGTGGTTTTAAGAGCCTATTTATAACTCACATTTTAACTCGTCTGTTGAATACCAAAAATAACTTTTCGATTTATTATATTGTAGATAAATACGTATTTTCATTAAATTATTGGCAGCTAAAATTCAGAGGATGTTACTACTGGTAAACATTTCAATTGGATGATATCTGAACTGTTTTTATAATTTATAAGGGCTTTTACCGTAATTTATTTATGTAGTATATTTCTAAAGTATGAGTGTATTTTAGTTCTCTCCAAAATCACCACAGATAGGCTTTTTCTTTTTAGATGTAGCAACAAAACACAAGTCATTTATAAACTTATTATATTATTTGTGAGTCTAGTTTAGACCCATTTAATTCAATAACATTTGAGTAAAAGAGGAAAATGTTTCCACTATTATATTAGGCTCGTCGGCTACGTTGAAAAGTTCATGGAAAAAATTGGCATTTCTGTTCCCCCATTGTCTGCATCCCAACTAGCCAGCAGTTCAGTTCGTTGGTCTATAGCAATAGTAAGTTAGTTCTAATTACTGCATTCAGGTATATCATGTTTTTCAAGCGTCGTTCTCAAAGTTGCTTATAAACATGCTAGTTAAAACCAATACAGTTGTTGAGTGCAAACTTATACCACAGTGTTTACAGAACTGAACCTTTAGTTATTAAGTTTCAGGCTCATGCCTTACAATACCTGTTTTGTTTTGAGCTACTTGGTATTATTATTAACCCTTTCAAACCAGTTTCGCCCAAATCCCGCATCTTTATTTGGTCACTAGGTTGCATTTAGTGTTAGTTGTTTGAATAAAATACCAGGAAATCTGGAAATAACTTCAACACACCCCCACACAGACTCAGGGTTATTATCATATCCTAAGTTCAACGTAAAACTCCGCCTGTAGCTCTTCTAGAGTTACTGCCGGTCCTGAGCCCGGGTAAAGGAGGAGGGTTGGTAATGGCGTTAGCGAACCCATCCAGTAGAAAACTAACTCGCTAAAAAACGCTAACCAGAAAAAAAATAATTCAAACCACTTAAACTCTGCCCTGGGAGTTAGAAGGTCGTCATTTAGAGCTAGGACGCCTCATGGTGAAAGCCGACTTTCTTCGGAAGCCACAAAGCCGATGCCTTCTCTAACAACCAGAGCAACAAATTTTATAGGTACATGGAACGTCCGAACAATGTGGGAGACCGGGAAGACCAGTGAAATAGCAACGGAAATGAGGAGGTACAACTTGGCAGTACTGAGAATCAGCGAAACCCATTGGACCCAAGCTGGACAACAAAGGCTAAATACGGGAGAGATGCTGCTTTACTCCGGTCCCGAAGAGGAAAATGCTCCACACACTCAGGGAGTCACTCTAATGCTGTCCAAACTGGCACGAAATGTACTTGTAGGATGGGAATCTCACGGATCCAGAATCATCAAAGCATCATTCAAAACAAAGAAGGAGGGAATTACAATGAATGTTATTCAGTGTTATGCACCCACCAATGATAGCAACGATGACATTAAAGACCAATTCTACGAGCGGCTGCAGTCAATCATAGAGAAATGCCCAAGAAAGGACCTTACCATTCTGATGGGAGATCTAAACGCTAAAGTCGGAATAGACAACACCGGATATGAAGATATTATGGGACGACATGGACTGGGAGGGATAAACGAAAATGGAGAAAGATTTGCAAATTTATGTGCATTCAACAAATTGGTCATAGGAGGCACAATATTTCCACACAAACGTATCTACAAAGCTACATGGATCTCACCGGACCACACTACAGAGAACCAAATAGATCATATTTGCATCAACAAAAAATTCCGAAGGACGATGGAAGATGTGAAAACCAGGAGAGGTGCTGACATAGCTTCAGATCACCATCTAGTTGTAGCCAATTTAAAACTGAAGCTAAAAAAAGAACTGGACGACTGGACAAACAGCACTACAAAGCTTCAATACAGCCTTCCTTCGAGATACTGACAGACTCAATGAATTCAAGATAGCTCTCAACAACAGGTTCCAAGCCTTACAAGATCTACTGAAGGAAGAAGAAACGACTATGGAGGACAATTGGAAATGTATCAAAGAAGCATTAACTTCAACGTGTCAAGAGGTTCTGGGCCTCAACAAGCATCATCATAAGGAATGGATCTCTATAGAAACACTGGACAGGATCAAAGAAGGGAAAAACAAGAAGACAGCGATTAACAACAACCGAACACGAGCAGAGAAAGTCAAGTCACAAACTGAGTACATAGAAGCAAACAAGCAAGTGAAGAAGAGCATTAGAGCCGACAAGAAGAAATACGTGAAAGCAATGACGGCGGAAAAAGCTACAAGAGAAGGAAATATGAAACAGCTGTATGATACAACGAAGAAACTAGCAGGGAGATATAGTAAACCAGAGAGACCAGTCAAAGACAAAGAAGGCAGGCCAATCACTGATATTCAACAACAGCGGGACAGATGAGTAGAGTACTTCGAGGAACTCTTGAATAGATCGGCTCCAATGAATCCACCATACAACGAAGCAGTACACACAGATCATCCTATAGATATCACTCCACCAACGACCAAAGAAATCACGATGGTCATCAGACAAATCAAGAGCGGGAAAGCAGCAGGACCTGATAATATACTAGCTGAAGCACTGAAGTCAGACAGCGAAGTAACTACAGACATGCTTCATACTCTATTCAAGAAGATTTGGGAGGAGGATTAAGTGCCGATGGACTGGAAAGAAGGACACTTCATCAAGATTCCAAAGAAAGGAGATCTGAGCAAATGTGAAAACTACAGAGGCATCACACTACTGTCAATACCAGGGAAGGTCTTTAACAGAGTATTGCTGAACCAGATGAAAGATGCAGTAGACGCCCAACTTCGAGATCAACAAGCTGGATTCCGTAATAATCGATCATGCACAGACCAAATTGCAACACTACGGATCATCGTCAAACAATCAGTTGAGTGGAACTCATGACTGTACATCAACTTCATTGATTATGAAAAGGCATTCGACAGTGTAGATAGGAGGACATTATGGAAACTTCTTCGATACTACGGAGTTCCTGAGAAGATTGTCAATATTATCCGGAACTCATACGACGGAGTACAATGCAAAGTCGTGCATGGAGGACAGCTGTGAGATGCATTCCAAGTAAGGACTGGAGTCAGACAAGGGTGTCTACTCTCCCATTTCCTCTCTCTTCTGGTGGTCGACTGGATTATGAAGACCTCGACATCCGAGGGAAAACACGGCATACAATGGACAGCTCATAACCAATTAGATGATTTCGACTTCGCAGATGACCTAGCCCTCCTATCGCATACACACCAACAAATGCAGATAAAGACAGCCAGTATAGCAGCAGTCTCTGCATCAATAAGCCTCAACATACACAAGGGGAAAACCAAGGTCCTCAAATATAACACGGAGAACAGCAATCCAATCACACTTAATGGAGAATCTTCCACATACCCGGGAAGCATCATCGATGAACAAGGAGGTTGAGATGCAGACGTAAAGGAGAGGATTGGGAAAGCAAGGGCCGCATCCCTACAATTGAAGAACATATGGAACTCAAAACAACTTTCAACCGATATCAAAGTCACAATCTTCAATACCAACGTCAAAACAGTTCTACTGTACAGAGCTGAAACGTGGAGAAACACTACAACCACAATCAAGAAAGAACAAGTATTTATAAATAGCTGTCTACGCAAGATATTCAACATCCATTGGCCGGATACCATCAGCAACAACCTTCTGTGGGAGGGGACAAACCAGCTTCCATCTGAAGAGGAAATTAGGAAAAGACGATGGAAATGGATAGGACACGCATTGAGGAAATCATCAAACTGCATCACGAGTCAAGTCGTAACTTGGAATCCTGAAGGGAAGCTGAAAAGAGGAAGGCCAAAGAACAGATATGAAAAGGATGAATAACAACTAGAAAGAGCTGGAAATGATTGCCCAGGACAGGGTTGGATGGCGAGTGCTGGTTGGCGGCCTATGCTCCTTCACCAGGAGTAACAGGCGTAAGTAAGTAACTCCAACGTGACTGCCACATTCGTTGATTCATGTTTTGTGATGACTTCCTACTCCACCTTTTATTCATTTGGAAATGGCCGGTCACAAAAGCGCGGTACTCTATCCAACCGTAAAGAATACTTATTTATTATGTAACTTTGACAACTTTAATTCACACATTATGAACACCTAATCCATCAATCTTTTTCATTCGTTTTCCGTAAAATTTGCACTGTACAGTCGTAATTATTAGAAGCTTTGATTGATTTTGCGTCCGTGAGGATCGTTTTCACCATGAAATTTACCCTGACTGTTCTTAAGTCACGCGCACCATCTGAGCTTACTGTCCTCAGTTTTAACGCAAATCCTGAAACAGGTGTATTTAGGACATTAAAACGTCTACCTGTCTTTACACGTTATCTTAAATTTCTACCAAATGTAGTAAATTGGCCTACGTGTTGAAATAAATAACAATGTTGACTATAGGTATATGGTATAGGCTAATCATCCAAGACCACTAAGCAAAGCCAAGAATTTTCTTCGCATAGTACTCATAGGCTTTCTCTGGAATGTAGCTTAAACCAAGGAATTTTGTAGAGATTTATATATTCCTAGGCTATCAGCTAAAAGACGAATCCTTTTTGCCAAAAACTGGATTGAATTAGATTATCATGGTTCCTTCGTCATAGCAATGAATTGGTTGGTCGGGTATTCTTACATTATGTATTTCACCTCAGTGAGAAAAATGGTCGAATCGGTAAGCACTCTTAAGTCCAATAGAAAAATCATGAAAGTTATGAACAGGAGATTTCGTTTTTCGATTGTTTCATGGGAAGCTTGTTGAAAAAGGTATTTTATGAACAAAATATGAAAATTCGTGTCAATTACATATCTTGGCTTCAAGGGTTCGGATCGATTACAGTGAGTTAGATGCATCCATTTCCCGTCATCTAGATCTTGGAATGTAACATTATTCTTCAGATTCTTTTTTTTCGAAATATGTCATGAACACCAATACTACTTTTACTCCGCTATACATCTTGTTAATTTCCACGAGCTGTGCATGTGTGTCATGGGAATTTAGTTCAGTGTACACTACTTCCTGCTCTTATGTTGTTTATGACCATATATGGTAATCAGGTTTTAGATCCCACAAGCGGTAAAACTTGGTTAAACCAGTGATTTCTGATCGTATTACAGGTCCAAGTTTCTAATGAAGTGTAGTGTCTTTTTCTTTTAGTGGATAATTCCTCTTGTTTTGACTGTTAGCATGTGTCAATACTGCAACCGATGTGCTAAATTTCCAGCATTATAAATAATCTTGCGGTATTAAAATACTTCAAATTGTTTTAAGCTTGTGTTATTTGTAATTTGAATTAAGACTGATTATTAACACTCATAAAGCATATTCCTTTATTTTTAGGGACGGATCGTCGGCATTACTACTGGTTGTCTTCTAGGTTTATTGCCTCTTGTTTTGTTCAGTTGGTGAAAGCTAAAAAGATTAACCAAGGGTTCAGTCCAACTTTCCGGGTTCTTTACCTCTACAATAGCAGTGTTTTTAATTAACCAGATGTATCTTGATTTCTTCCTTAGCATAAATCTACAGATCTTTATAAGTCGTGACAGTGAATTTGTAACTCTAGTGCAAACGCTTTCCAAAAGTATATTTTCATACTAACCAGCCATTTAAAACAGCATCACAGCTCTGCAGAACGATTTTTCGTTTCAAAATTAATGTAATACCCAACATCTGATTTCGTATAATTTTTTATTCCGTTATCTGGATCGATGTTTTACTGATCTAATCATATTACAAGTATGCAGATAATATTTCCAAACTGCTGAACTGTTTAAAAGAAGTCTCATATCATAAATGCCTTTGAAGACACTTGAGCGCCAATCTCAACTATACCGTGTGGTAAATATGATTCTCTAAATGTATTAGGATTACATAATTAATATCCTAATAATCCTTCATCCTTAGTTTATAATTTACTACTTTATTTTTAATTTCTATGTAAAATACCTAGCTTTCATCAAAATAAATGTATTTTTACTAAACTCCCAGCGTTAAGAAATGTGCCAAGAAAATGCTTTGTCGACTTGTTCATGTACAGTGACCAAGGTACCTGGACCTTAACAACTCCCTGAGAGTATGAGATTTAAATTTCGTGGATTGTGGGTAAACATAAATTCCTAAACTCCCTGATGTATAAATGCTATAAACCTTTGCATAGTGAATGGTTAGTAAAAGTAACCCATGCATGATAAAGTTTTGGCAAAATGTCCCATACTTATTTAGAATTATTATTTTTACTAATCAAACGTATGATGTCTTATACTTTGATTCTCCGTAGTTTGAAATACTCACACATTACGTATATTATTTCTTATCTAAACAAACTTATTAGAATACTAGCACCACGTTATATGCACCAGAAAACGGTGAAAACTCACGAGAATACGGAGACAAAAATAAAAAAATCAACTACATAAATTGTAAATAAAAGGCTTTGGTCTCCTTTTCCTATAGCTGTTCAAATTGGAAGGGAAAACGGTCTAAAGCCGTTAATTTTTATTCTAAATCTTGTATTGGGTCTCAGTTCATTTAATGCTCTTTAGAGTTATCCAATAGATGAAAACGAACATAAACCTCGTCCGCTCATCACTATAGATTTAAAATGTACACTCAACTCTAAAACTAATCGGGAAGATGGGAATGCTGCGTATAGAAACAAATCTTCAAGCTCAAATTTTGATAAAATAAATATACCCGCTTAGAAATACCAAGACATGATTCCATCAATGTTCTTTCCCAACGACCTCCTTACCATGGTTTTACATTTATTCAAAGGGATAAGTGATACGTTACTAGATGTGGTATGTTCACACAGATTTGTAGTTTTAGGAAAGGTTTCAGCAAGTGACTAGTTTATAATATTGACTGCGTAAACATAACGAGTGAAAACCTTCAACCGGGAGGGTGTAATTTCCTACATATTGAATATGATTTTGAGCGTGTTTGCTTATGAAAACAAAGTAAGAAAAAGCTGAAGTTATTCTAAACTCATAAAATTTGCACATTTTGATGAGTATTATTTCAAACGTATGGAAGCGGTTTTTGAAGCACGTTTTAAATGTACAAAAAATTGATAGTAATAATAGTTATCTAGAAGTGGTACGATCGCACGTTTAATTGTAACCCGTCCTGGACTAGGATCAGAAACTCTTGGTTTCTGAGATCTCAAACATGAACGCAAGTGGCTCTAAATACCAAAAGACGAATTCAAAGACTATTCTAGTTCGCCTTAGTTTATCCAATTTAATTCTGTCCCATCTATCACCACTTACAAGGTTAGTGAAGAATCCTGTTTAAAAGTGTGCTTTACCTACCATCAGACCATTGTGTTCACTCGTAATTAGTAACCAGTATTTACCTTTATCTTACCATGTAGTCATATGAGCATGAATTCATATAATACGTAGAACCACTAAAATCAAGCATGTTTGCTACTAGCCGTGAGATGTTTACTGGAATACACACTGGATTTTCAATCGTGATGAGTTGATATTCATCGTCATAACTTTTCAGCGTTAGGAAGCGCTTTAAAATTGTTTCCGACTACGAATCCTAATTCTGGTCCCGTGGATTTTCGATATCTGATGATAAAATTTTGTTGCACTTAGTTTGCTTTGTCACAATTATACACGTTATAGTGGTTTTCACTCGAACGCTAGATAGGCTAACGATCTTTGTATTCTGCTTGTATATATGAGAACTATTACCAAACTCAAGTTTACATTTGTTTGGTAGTAGTTAAGTCTTCAAATTCCTTTGTACGTTCGAATCACCTTTCCCTCTCGAAATACTCTCACATGGCCACGTGCATACAACCACTGCCAGGGAAGTCCTACTCACTGTCTGCTTGCGGCATTACTGTTGTTTACGAAATTGAGAGGATGAAAAGCGAATGTCCGGCGCTTTAACCGGCTTGGTGGACATAGAGAGTACACCTAGGGGAGTTGGGAAACCCTGATTCCAAACCAATGGTTTACTTGGGCTCCAGTATCCTGACGGAACAAATGGTGTATGGACCTATTGTTGGTCACCGGCTGCCATCGGACTGCATCCCCTGACGTTGCTCCACTGTCTTGTGGATCAGACCTTTAGGTCGAAGGCTCCCCCTAAGGAAACCACCTGCTTCAGTTTAGGCACCTGGGCAGCATCCCAGCCCTCACTCAAATTGAATGGTTTGTGTGGCACATATATTTGGTGCCTCTTTGTACTAGTATTTATGTGTTTAAATAAATAAAAGTAGTTAAGCCACTATATGGGGGTCATCAAATGCTTCGTCCTATGTAAACCGGTAAGACAGACCGGCAAAACAGAAAAAGGACTTGTCCTTTGTTATGTGCTTCCGGGAAATCTTTAGTGACAGGAATAATTTAAATATTGTATTGATAAGCTTAAAACGATGTTAACTAAGTTAAGGCAAACAAAGAACAAAACCTCTGCGTAAGTCGGTCAGATCTATTTTGTAGTTATGTGGTAAAAATAGTTCAAGAATACTGAAGTCAGGTTTCTTGAATGTTACATCGTAATTTGAAATCTTAAAATTTTGTAATATGAAGTGGTAAGTTAGCGAACAAGGACATCTTAAGAACTGCATTAAGGACTGTCTGAAATTACAAGCAAACAATAGAATACTTAATCATGAAATAGCACACTTTAATCGTAATAACGCCCAGCTGTAAAAATTTTGAAGGCAACTAAACCGTCGACTGTATAAATAGCGAGAGCCATGAAGGTGAAAATCTGAAAAAGAACAAGATCTCGTATTAATAAACCAGTGACTTAAAAAAGTTGAATGTTAACAGGCTAACATATGAGTCACGAATTCAGGACTACCAGACTTCTCGAAGACGGTAGATCGTATAGTACTCAACTTAAAAAGGAACTAATGGGTACATGTTTTATTGCTTAAAAGATTGCTTCATGTGGAAACTGCAACCCACTTTATTCCCTAACATAATTACGGACGAGTCCGACATGTTACTGTGAGTATCAAAATGTCAAGCTGTCGGATCTATTAACCTTGAACTCTTTATTCAATGACTTACCAAGGAAATGCAATAAGTCTCTGGTATCCGTAGAGCTTAAAATTTGAGGGGTGAATGGTCCGATTAATATCAATGCTCTCTAAAACAACTAGAATAAGATAACTGACTGAACGACTAGAATTTTTTTAAAGCATAGACAAATAAAGAAGGTTACTGTCGGAAATATATGAGTGAGACAGTTACCTGTCTCATACGTCCTTAGCGGTTTTATTATTGCACCTTTTAATATAGAAAACAACAGGGTCAACCAACTTATTATTTTTACAAAAGACGGAGACAGCTAGATCTTTAAATTCGTCTACTACATAGAGAAGACTTTCTAAAACAAAAAGAAGCGAACCGATTCCATCAATCTCACTACTAACATATCTAATACGTATTTAACAGACTCTAAAAACGGCTATGCTTTGGTCTTACCGTTTCTGCTATTATAATACCACTTAAATGAGAATATGCTGCAGACAGTACTCCATTTGAAAACACAAGTATGCATACGACAACATAGGCAGCAAGTTCCTGATATAATTATTATTAGTTAGTAGCACTCACGATTAGACACCAAGGAGCCGCAATAAAACGATGCAGAAGAAAGAGATGGAAGACAAGGAAGAATGCGGTGACAATGAATGATAACGCAGTTGTTACGGTCAGCCATGAACCACCAACTGATAGGAAATTCTTATCCAAGAAACTGATAATAAACGCTATGAAGATACAAAATAGTTCGCATAACTTAATCATTGCAGGAAATGTCCTGAGGTAACCTTCATAACACTTCCAATGGAAGATGCTTGTGGAGATAACATCATCGTCAGTAGAATGATTTCCATTATCACTTACTGCTTTGGTCCCATTAACACTGATTTGGGCCATATAAATAGTTTATACGAGTATTCAATCCTGGAAATCACGTTTTTATCAAGATATACATACAATTACTTTCCAACCTAAGATGTTTTCTCTCAAGCGCTTTAATTTACCAGATGAACTCTGACCTTCACTTTATGATTTTAAACGAACTGGATCAAATGTTTGTGAATAATGCAAAGTACGTATTTATTTATAGTTTTTACACTTACATTCGGTAACGTCCTGAGTTTTTTGGATTTGAGACAAGTAGTTAAGAACTAGCAACAACGTAAAAATTCCAAAATTCATTTCACAGGTTTAGATTTGTGTAGTAAGAACAGAAGGCTTATAGCTCATTTTTCTTCTTCTCCATTATGCTTCTGTTAACGTCTAGCTTCCTCTTGAGCGGGTAATTGAAGGTGCTTACACCAATGCTTCAGGAGACAGATTCCAACAATTGATGACTCGGTTTGAAAACCGATATGCAAAGGATAATTTGCTCGTTCTCGGCTTTTCTACTCGCCTCCTATGTCCTCTGAGATGTCATGATCTAGTGTTAAGAAAAAGAGAAGATATATTTGGTCTCAGATTATTTCTTACTATTCCATACATCAAAATCAGTTCATCTGTTAATCTGCGAAGAGACTGAGTAAGGAAGTCTAGCATTTCAAGCCCTTTTTGTATGGTAAACCTCAGGATTTTTTAGTTGCACGAGTAGCTGCTCTCTGTAATTCACCAAGGATATTCAAGTCAACTTTAAAACAGGGACTTGCAGCCTGAATGCCGTTTTCAAGCTTGGTTCTCAATAAAATTGTGAATACTGTGGTGAACATAGTGGTATCTAGCTTGGTGAATGTCAGTCCGAAATACCATAGGATTCTCATCTCCTCAAGTGCATACTCTCGGCAGTGGGTCGTGGTTTCAAGAATGTAGCGGTAAATAAATCCCCAAAATAAATAGCTCTGTAAGTTTTCGACATTGGATGCTAACCACATGTTTTAATGGACTCACCTAGGTGAAGGCGCTCGGTCATGCATCCGCACCAGATCACGAGTGGGGACGCCGTGCTCAACATCCATTGCAATCGCTAGCCAGATTAGATCAGACGGTTCTTGATATATTGATATCACATCAAATATATTTTCCAATCTCCTCGGTTCTGTCTTTTGATTTATCTTGGTGGGTACAAGTTATATCAGGTGTTATTAGTTAAAGCACTGAATACCTGTGCCATCTTCATTGGTGATCCTAACGTCATATGGTACACCAAATCGTAAATTGTGAGTCTGTTCCATCTTGTGATCCTATATATCATTGCCTTATGTCAATTTTTTATACATTGTAATTTTTTTCGTGCTTTTTGGAGATATATATATAGTTTTTCCCACTTTCATTATCGTACTTCATACTTCATCATGACTGAACAGACATCCAAAGTATCTAAGCATAAGACTTTGTCCCCACCTTCGTTTCAACTGAGGCCCTTCTGGCCAGACAACATCGAAGCCTAGTTTTGTTACGCAGGAGCCGACTTCTCCGAGCACGGCGTGATCGATACACGTGCACAATTCCTCGCAGTAGTCAAGGCACTACCGTACGTAATAACTAGTATGTTTACTAGTTATGTTTCTGAACCTTACGAAACACTAAAATGTTCTATTCTTAAGCGCGGAGACCTAACCGATAGACCAATTCCTCAATAACATCGACCTGCAACACGGTTCTGCGGCGGACATGTTGAAACGAATGAGAGAGGTTATCGGTCAACGAACTTTCGAGGATGGCCTATTTAAACAACTTTTCTCGCCGAAACTTCCTCAACAGGTGCAAGATGTGTTTGTCTCGTTCCAGAACAACACCTTGGACGAGCTGGCAGCATCTGCCGATCGCATTTTAGAAATCACAAAATCTTCTAGTACCGAGGTTTTTTCAGTCAAATAACAGCCTCAAACAACCCAGAATGACATAACAGAGTTATGTAATACACATACGCGTTATCTTAATTTTCGTAACGACCGTAAGTGATCACACACCACATGTGAGCGATCTGTTTCTAGACCACGAGAGATGGATAACCCTGACCGGTGCTAGCATCATAACCAGTACGGAAAGTCTTCCAGAAATCACAGAAAACCCTGCAATTTTCCCAACTCAAAACCGACCGATTTGAAAAACAACTGGGGAAACTTCCTAACCGGCACGCGTTAACGGCAACCGTAGCCGGCGAACATAGCCGTCTGTTGAACGTTACAGATGTGACAAGAGGAATTCGCTACCTAGTCGATACTGGCGCAGAAGTTAGCCTTCTCCCAGCGAATTCTGACGACCGACTTCACGAATCGGCTTTCAACTTACGGGCGGCGAACGGAAAACCTATCGCTACGTATGTCAAACGGTACGTTTACCTGGACGTGGGTTTACGCAAACCCATTCACTGGATCTTCGTTGTTGCAGTTGTTTCTCTTCCAATCATTGGTATGGACCTTCTACAACACCATAATCTAATCATCGATACGCGCAAACGGAGGCCAGTAGACGGAAACACTAAATTATCTGTTTGCGTAACTTCTTTTCTGGTTGCAGATTATCCCGAGTCACAATTGAGCACACGATAGACCCACTATATCAACCACTACTCGATAAGTACCCTGAGATTCACCAAAAGCAACAGAAACTACCGTGTGTAACCAGCAACGTTACACGACTACAGGACCACCTGTAATCTCTAAAGCACGCCGACTAGCCCCCGAAAAGCTAAGGTTGGCAAAAAACGAGTTCGGCCGCACGGTAGACTTAGGAATCATACGACCGTCAAATAGCCCGTATGCATTCCCATTGCACATGGTCCCTAATAAGGACAGCAACGATTGTTGTCCAACTGGTGACTATCAGCAATTAAATGCAAAAACCATTCCCAATCGTTACCCGTTGCCTCACATTCACGATTTGACAGCTACCTTGGAAGGTACAACTGTTTTTTCCAAAGTCGATTTGGTTAAAGCGTTTAACCAAATCCCTATGGCTACAGACGATGTACCGAAAACAGCTATCATAACTCCCTTCGGACTCTACGAATTTTTGCGAATGCCTTTCGGTCTAAGAAACGCTGCCCAAACATTCCAAAGATTCATAGATGACGTTGTTCGAGGTCTCAACTTCGTACATGCGTATGTGAATGACTGCCTTATCGCAAGTCCGCACAGAGAATCGCATCTACAGCATCTGCATCTTGTCTTCGACCGAATACAAAGGCATGGCATTACTGTAAACATTCAAAAATGCCAAATCGGAGCTGACTCATTAGACTTTCTGGGACACACTATCGATACTCAAGGAATTCGACCCCTTAGAACCAAAGTAGCGGCCATCCTGGATTACCCAGAACCGACCACCATCAAGCAATTACGGACGTTTAACGGCCTCGTAAGTTTCTATAGACGTTTCATACAGAAATGCGCATTACTTATGAAGCCTCTTACCGATCAACTTCGTGGGAATGCGAAATCCATCAGTCTGGACGACACCGCACGAAAAGCATTCTCCACAGTTAAGGAACGTATCGCTAAAGCAACAATGCTTGCTCATCAAGACACTGAAGCACCCATTAGCATCGCAGTAAACGCATCCGACTCAGCAATCGGAGGAGTCTTGCAACAATGGGTTAACAACTCCTGACAACCTTTGGCATTTTTCTATAAAAGGTTGCTAGGCACGGAATCGAGGTACGGCACATTCGGTAGAGGACTCCTATCTATGTACTGCGCTGTACGGCTTTTTCAACACCATATCAAAGGCCGTGAATTTACCCTTTTTACTGATCATAAACCTCTTACTTTCTCTTTAAGCTCATCTTCAGACAAGTACTGACCACGTGAGTCTCGACAACTGGACTACATTTCGCAGTTTACTTCAGACATTCAACACATCTCTGGAGCAAACAAAGTAGTTGCAGACGCTTTGTCTCGCATAACTTCCTTGAACAGTTTCCAAGGAATCGAACTTATTAAACTCGCCGAGCTTCAAAAAGAAGACACTGATTTCAGCACGAGTTATCGTCCACAACACTTAAACTACGCATCAAACAGATGGGAACAGGTAAGGAAATCTTACTTTGTGACACATCTACAGGTAGGGATCGTCCAATCGTGCCGAAACATTATCGACACAACGTCTTCAATACTTTGCACAAACTTTCTCATCCAGGTGTTTGTGCAACCATCAAGCTTATAGCAGAACGGTTTTGCTGACCTGGTATGAATAAAGACGTGAGGAAGTGGGTACGCTCCTGTGTAAGCTGTCAGAAATCTAAGATGATTGGACACGACAAATGTCTCTTAGGTTCATTTAAAATTCATGGTGCTTGTTTCGACCATGTTCATCTGGATTTGGTAGGAGCTTTGCCAGATTCAAATGGATACTCTTATCTCTTAACCTGCGTAGACCGTTTCATTTGATAGCCAGAGGCAGTACCTATCAAGGACATCTCTGCTGAAACAGTGTTATTGGTTAGAGCGTTGTCAAACACTGAATACCTGTGCCATCTTCAACATCATGACTCACAATCATCCTACGATCGCTGTCAAACCGAGCCACAGGTACAGGCACTTCTGTGCTGTGCCTATTCACCTTCGTACCACCAAAGTTCATGTAGACACACTTTACCGCGTGGATAGGCATCAGCCACCTTTCAAACCAGCTAATCGCAATATTTAAGTATGCCCGAAGTGCTCATGCATTGGAGTCTCATGATATTTTCCGCCAGATTTTTATATCATCAACATATAGAAACATTGTTAACCCAATCTTCAGTAATAAGGATAGGAGGTCTATCGGCCTATATTAATCCTTGCAGTTTGTAATACTGTGGAGGTCCAATCTCGTTTTGAATATAATAACAAAAGGTAGAGAATTCCAGCAATTCACTACTTGGTTCGAGAAACGAAACTCCAGACGTAAGCGATTTGGTCTCGGTTTTTCGAACTTTCTTCGAATGTCCTTTCAAATGATCAGTCCTAGATGGAAGA